TTCACAAGTTTATAAGATATCAAATTACATAACCCGCATATATGCGGATCCTTCATCTAGTAATTTAATAAATTTACTTACCACAGCTGATTTACCCAAGAAGTTGGTCACGATTTTACCAAAAATAAACATCAATATTAACTACTGTCGGCTATGGAATTTTTGGAATTAAAGATCCGTGAAATGAACGAGAGACAAAAGAAAGAGAATTTCTCATTTAGTTTCAGTAGATACCAAATGCATGCCACTCTACCGTAGATACCATCTTTACCAAATCAGAACAGTCTGTTGCGTACTATATTTAGTCAAGTGCTTAAAAATTTAATTCTTCTTTTCCGCAAAGGTTGAGAAAATATTTCAGTGAACCCTTGACAAAAAAAACTTTATTTATGAGTTAGCTATTTGGACTCGAAGGTAGGCAATCTCATTTTTTTTGCTAAAAAGTAAATATTTCATTTGAAAAAATGAAAACGTTTTAGGTTTACAAGTCGAAACATATAAACCTATATAAGCCTTAAATTCATTATTACCGTATAAACTATCGTTTTTATTTCTTCTTCCAAATAAACCACATCAACCATGAAAACATTTTGTTATATCTCGGCTTGATTTACAATTGAATTTTGAAAGGCGGATAAGAATACCAGTCTCACAATTTATCTTTTTAAAATCGGCACCCAAATTATTTATATAAAAAAAAAGATTAATTATATATTGCTCTAAATAATAGATAACGTAAATGGTTGATAAATTAAGGAGAGGAGAAGGGTATTGGTTTGGTCTTTGGAGTGAATGTGAAGCTTTACACCAAATCCAATTTTTCTTTATTTGTTTATTTTTCTATTTACAATATCTCTCCAAAAGAAAAAAGTATGAACATTTCAGTTTCACCTTCCTTTTTGCTTTTAATTCAAGTCAGTTGTCTGTCCATTGACAAAAAAACCATAATTCTTCCTTTATTTATTATTGTCTCTCTGTAGGCTATTTAATCTTCAGTATTTTTTTATGGTTAAAAGTCTGCTTTCATACGATGAGAAGAAGCCTCTCCTGAGGAAGAACATTATATGAAGCAACATCGTAATGGTTTTTCTTAAGTATCTTGTGCGTAAATGTATAAAACATAATTAAGAAAATATGAAAATTAGGAAGAACAAAAGACACTACTGACCTACTAGAGGTTTGATGTTAGGCACCAACCATTTTTATTACTAACAAAGAATAAAAACCTCATATATCTCTTTTGCAATTCATTCCTCATCACATTCACTCACAAAC